CCTTTATCACTTAGTAACTTCTGTTCCTTTGAGGTTCATTATATACATCTCTACTATCCAATCAAAATCTTGGTAGCTGTTATTTACATATCCCTAGGTTATTCATCTTCCTTCTTCAGTGAATTCAGTATCTGGTTTATAATTTTTCTGTCCTCCCCAACTCCTCCTCTAATACTATGGGATTTCAACATTCCCTAATCACTCAGTTCCTCAACCTACTTGCTTTCTGTGAGCTACTCTTGTACCCCACTTCAGCCACACACAAGCCCTTAACCTTGCTACCTCTTCAAGAATTCTGAAATTCTCTTATCCAACTCTAATCTGTTACTTTTGATCTCTCCCTCTGCCTTCCCTTACTTCCCTACTCTTGGTCCATACTATGACCTCTAATCCCTTGACACTTCAATTCTCGCCCAAGCCATTTCCCATGAACTAACCGCTCTCTCCTCTTTCCCCCATCTTGTTGATGATCCAATTCAATTCTACACTGTCCTCCTTTCTTGAATTCTTAGCACCCTTTGTCATATAAATAATTATGCCCACCCAAGTCTCATCCTTGGATCACAGCCACCACTTGCTTCCTTCACTCCTTCCCATATGCTGCTGAATGAAGATGGAAAAAAATCACACAACCCTTCTGACTGGATCCATTACAAATTACCAGTGAAGTCTTATTCAAACCCAATGACCTTTTCCCTATCTTAATTCTTCTTGATCTCTCTGCAGCCTTTGATACTGTTGATCATTCTCTCCTCCTTGATATTCTTTTCTCTCTAGGTTTATCAGAACACCACTCTCTACCTGTCTGACCTTACCTTCTCTGTCTCCTTTGCTGTATCCTCTTTCAGGTCATGCCCTCTAATCACTGGTGTCCCTCAGCCTTCTGTCCTGGACCCACTCTATACTTCTTCACTTATGTCCCATGGACATAATTACAGTCTCTGTGATGAAAACTCTCAAGAGTACCTCAAGTCTTTCCCAGTTCTCTGCTGACCTCTAATCTCACATCTCTATCTGTCTGAAAGGCATCCCCAGCATACATCTTAAACTCAGTGTGTCTAAAATGGAACTCATTATCTCTCCTCCCCTAAATTCTTCCCTATTCTTCCTAATCCCTGAGTCTCACAATCTAGGAGTTATCCTCAACTCATATTTTTCACCTCCCATATCCAATCTATTTCCAACACCTGTCATTTTCATCTTTGCAGCATCTTTTAAATGTCTCCTTCTCTTCTCTAACAAACACTGCCCCACTCTAGAATAGGCCCTCTTCAGCTAGTCTGAATTATTGGACTAGCCTGCTCCAGAAAAACCCTAGAAAGACTTGTATGAATTGATGAAAATGAAATGAGCAGAATAAGCATAACATTGTACACGGTATCAGCAACATTGTTGATGATCAACTGTAAATGACTTAGCTCTTCTCAGCAATCCAATAATCCAAGACAATTACAAAGGACTCATGATAGAAAATGTTATCCACATCCAAATAAAGAACTGATATACAGATCGAAGCATTCATTTAAACTTACTTTATTTTTTTGTGTGTGTTTTTTTTTCCTTTTGGTCTGGTTTTTTTTTTTTTTTTTGGTGAGGCAATCAGGGTTAAGTGACTTGCTCAGGGTCACACAGCTAAGTAAGTGTCAAGTCTCTGAGGCCGGATTTCAACTCAGGTCCTGATGATTCCAAGGCCAGAGCTCTATGCGTTGTGCCATCTACCTGCCCCCTCTGAACCACCTAGCTGCCCCATAGGCCTGTTTCTTCTTTCACAACTGTGGCTAATATGGAGATATGTCTTATGTGATTGTATATATATAACCTATATCAAATTGCTTACCATTTTAGGAGGGCTGGGGTGGTAGGGAGAAAAATTTGGAACTCAAAATCTTGTAAAAATGAATGCCAAAAGTTGTCTTTACATATAATGGGGAGGGAATACTATTAAAAATAAAGACAAAAATGAAATAAAAAAATAAAAGTAAATTTTACCAACCTCTCCCCCTCCAAAAAAAACCTCTGTGACCCTGAACTTAACAACATATGTCATGAGTTTCCTCATCTACAAAATGGGCATAATAACTATATCTTCTTGTTGTAGTAAGGATTAAATCAAATTTGGTAAAATACGTAAACACACTTTGCAAACCTTAATATGCTGTATAGCATGTTATCTACTGGTATTGTAGAATAGATGGCAACTATCATATTCAATAAGTATTGGGAACTTGGAAAACAGAAAGTTTAAGGGACTTGTCCAAGTTCCCAGAACAAGTAGAGGTTATTATCAATCCATCTGGAATACTCCAATTTTAATTAGTTACATTAATACAGAAGAGCAAATGTTAGTCATCGTAATACCTCACACTGACACAGATGACTCTTAAGGTTCTGAAAGAGCTTTTCTCATAACTGTCCCCTGCGACCAGTAGTGTATAACCATAACTGTAATATGATTACCGAAGCGAGATGTGGTAGGGAAAGAGTGCTACGCTTGCAGTCAGGAAGACCTGTATTCAAACTGAAACTTCTAGCTGTGTGATCCTGAACAATTTACTTAACCTTTTTTTGTTAAGGGAACTTTTTAGAACTTGCTTCAATTTTTCCCTCTTTAAAAATGAGGAGGTTGGACTAAGGGTTCTCTCAGCTTCCTGCTTGCTTTAGATCTATGATCCTAGGTACTAAGTCATATTTGGGTTGCTATCTCTATTGGTGAAGGAGTTCTCCAAACTCCCCAAATCAAAGATTATTCTCATTTTCTAATAATAGCATTACAAATGGATAAAGTTGGTTTCACAATTAAAACGAGACTTCCAAGTTCAGCTTTCTTTCCATTATAGAATTGTACCCAGGATAGCAAAGGCCATTTATATTAGGCTATGGAATATACATTGTTAGATATATTTGGATATTGTGTCCTGGAAATTCGTATTACTTTAGACAGCATGCCCTCAATGGAAAGAATAGACATGCAAAACTATCTGCTTTGAGCAATGCTCAAAAGTGTACATGTTCTCGGCCTATTTCCCTCCTTTCCTATTGATCTAACACACAGTTTTGTGTTTTTTTTTTTTTGTGAGGCAGTCAGGGTTAAGTGACTTGCCTAGGGTCACAGAGCTAGTGAATATCATGTGTCTGAGACGGATTTGAACTCAGGTCCTCCTGACTCCAGGGCTGGTGCTTTATCCACTGCACCATTTAGCTGCCCCCCCCAACTCCAACATACTTACTTCTTACTGAAAAATGGGCAGTCCTCAGAGTTTACTACAGCCTGAAGTCATTTATTTCCCATTCTTATGGTATCATGGAAAGAATGCTTGAGATTAGGAGTCAAAAGACCTTGGTTCTAGTTCTGTCACTGAGCAGATATGTGTACAAGCATCTATCAAGTACCTACTGTGTTACAGGTACTGTGTTAAGTAAGGGCTGGGAATACAGAAACAAGAAAAATGGAGGATAATCTCAGTTCTCACAGATCTTATGTTCTTATAATGGGGGGAAATTATACATAAAGGATAGCTGAAAAGTAGGTGAGGAGAAGTTCAGAGAATTCAGAAGGAAGCAAGGAAAGGAATGTGAGTAAGACATTCCCTCGAATTGAAGGTTCCAAGAGGAACCAGAGCAGGGGCCTAAAGGAGACCTTCAAGAGCAGTTGCTAGGGCATGGAAGGAAGGAAACAAGCATATATTAAGCACCTCCTGTGTGTTAGGCACTGTGCTAAGCTCTTTACAGATGTCTCATTTTATCCCCATAACTCCGCAAAGTAGGCACTATTATTATCTTCATTTTACAGATGGAGAAACTGAAGCAAACAGATTAAGTGACTCGACCACAGTCACACATTAAGTGTCTGAAACCAGATTAGAATTCATGTCTTCCTGACTTCCGGCCCAGTGTTTTTATCCACTGTGCCACCTAACTACCTGTTAGATGTGATTGACTTTTCTAGAGTTTTCTTTCACAGAAAATGTGTTTTTTAAAATTTGTACATTCTGGTTCATTTTTAAAAATGGTGGACATGTGTTCTCCGCACAAATTACTCTGTAGTTCCCTGGTATTTTTATTTTAAACTCATAGATTTAGAACTGGAAGGTATCATAGAGGCCAGATTGTCCAACCATCTCATTTTACAGATGAGTAAACTGAGTTCCAGAGAGTTTAGTAATTTGTTCATGATCACCAAGGTAGTAAGTAGCAGTATTGGCTCTTCTGGGCATCAGTAGTGCCATTAATTATGATGCTTATTAGCATCTTTGACTATTCATAAACTTTGAGTTCAATGAGTAGTTACTTCTAAAATGGGGGTCTTAAATAAGTATAAATCTTGGGTGTCCTTCATTTAAGAATTCAACAATGAATATAAATATTTAAAGTTAGTATATAGATTACTTTAAAAATATTCTTTAGTCATAAGAGAAGGGTGTTGTTATTTTCCAGAAAACATGGATTATCTTTTCTGTTAGCATCTCTTTCCAAATCTATTAGAACTAGTTCTTTTTAGTTCTTATAATTGTATCCCCAAGTTGATCTATGGATTGATATGGTTCTTATTTTAATGGGCTTTTGTTATTTTAAATATACACATGTTTGGCCACTTCATGTTTTACAATAACACTGTTAACTCATTTCAACCAAGCCCTTCCTGTCAAGGCAGCTCTGTCTCTGCCTTTTGCTATTAACATTTTTTTCTCAATGGTAGTAATGGTCTTATATGTTTTGCTTAAAACAAAAAAAAAAGTTTCCATTTTCTGAAACTAGCCAAAGATATTTGGTGGAGAATGCCTGTGTGGAAAAGGTATTCATTTCAGAATAGTTAACTTCAGTTGTCCTCCATATTGTTATCCTTTATAACCGTGTAACAGAAGCAGCTATTGTCCCCTTTGCTAGTACCTGTTTAAAATTTTTATTGTGATTGATTTTTCCTTATATCTGTATGCTGAAAGTTCAGGCCTATGATTTGTTCACATGAAATTTTACCCTAACAGTCATTATCCTTATTACAGGCAGCCAGTATGGCACCTAAATCACCTTCCACTGACATCTTCGATATGGTTCCTTTTTCTCCCATAACTCCTCAGTCATCAACACCTACTCGCAATGGTACACAGCCTCCTCCAGTACCCAGTCGTTCTATAGAGATAAGTACGTTCTGTAACAATTCTAATTCCTGTTGTTTTGTATGTGGTATTCATAACAAACCAAATAATGCTTATTATTTTTATTTATTTTATGTTTTATTACTTCTTGTTACTATAAACAAAAATATTTTGTTTGTTAAACTCTATACCCCTAAGCCAGTTTATTTCAACTTATAAACAAAATTACTAATGTTGCTGTTATGAAGAATTTGAAATCATTGTGTGGGAAATGGAACTTAAAAAGCCTCATATGTATGTATATATGGGTGTATGTGTATATATATATATATATATATATATATATATATATCTCACATAAACATATGTCTGTTTATATCGTTGCATGAGATATTCAATTTGTTTTCCCTTCATGCACTTTAACATCAATTCTAGCAAGCATTTATCTGTTATGTGCTATGCACTGGGTATACAGAGACAAAAAATAAATTGTTCTCATAGTGCTTAAATTCTGAAAGGATTCTATATGTATTCATACGTATAAAAATAACTTAATCTGAGGAGAGATTGGGGGTGTGGGGGTGATGATTGGAAAGGCTTTGCAAGCTAGGAGATGATACTTGAGCTGAGCCTTGAGACTCCATAGAGCATCTATTTCTGTTTGTTTTGTTTATAATCTTCCTTCTAAAACTTTGTTCTTGTTCCAGAGAACTTTGGTGATGACTGTTCAAAGTTAGGGAGTAAGTTATTCACACAGAAAGCTATCCCAGATTGCAGGCACTTTGTGAGAATCCTTTCGAAAATATTAACTGACCAGAATATAAATATTTCAAAGCAAGGGCAATTAACAAAATAGCAGAGTAGTAAAAGTAACAACAGGACATCTTCCTTCACCTCCAAATGTTCAGTTCCCTAAACCACAAATACACATATTCTCAGTGGAAAGAATAGACATGCAGAGTATTCATGAATGGGGCTACACACATGGTTACAATATGGAGCCAGGTGTACATACATGGAGGGGCAACTCACACTTCTGACACTGTAACACACTGAACTCTGCTCCTCCCTGGGCATTGCTTCCTATTGGGTGTCTCCACTGATGGCTGCTGAATATCACAGCTCCCTTTCAACTAGTCTTCTTGCCAAGCTCCCTTCCTGCTTACTAAATACCCTATCTAACATTTGCTAATAATGCTGTGGTTACCAAGCCTCTTCTTTCAGAAGAGGGCTTCAGAAGAGCAAGATCTTTCAACTCCTTCATTATCTATAGGTAGGTGGAATAGAGGAAGGGGATAGGTGGGAAAGGGGAAAATAAGAGTTCCTTCCAGAGGAGAACCATAGTTCTCTTAAATCAGCTCTGTCAGTCAAAGCTCTTCCACTCATCCAAGCTCCTCAGAGAAGAAAATAGATATTTACCATAAGATTATATTATAGTAATTAGCATTAAGATTTAGAACTGGAAAGGAAGCTCTTTGATCTTTTCCTTGAACTCCTCTGTATTTTTCTGCCTCTTCTGAAGCTCTCAGTTCAACTCTCACTTGACTTAAGGTCAGAAAGCCATTTGAATTCTTACTTAGTCAGCAAGAATATGTTAAGGGCCATCTATGTACTATGCATTTCCTTAAGTCATGGGAATAAAAATAAAGACAAAAGACAAGGTCCCCACCCTCTGGGAGCTCACATTCTAATGGAGGAGACAATTTGCAAACATTTGTAAATGGAAGGTAGTCCAAGTAGAGGGATTTCGAAGATGGGCACTTAGGAGAGTGGAAGAGACCTACTGTGGCTCTTATCATTCCCCTCTGACCAAAGCAAATTGTGCCAGGGCTCTACTTCCTCAAACAGAGCTAAACAATGCTCTTATGAAGAAATGGCTGTTAACAGCTCCCATTCTTCTGTTCTGTGCAAATGACAAGGGCTGGTAAATTGATAATTAATTTATGAAATTATGAAATGGAGGCAGGCATGCCTGGTTCTTTGGGTACATACAGGAAAAGACCACAATGGCAGTAGGAAACAGGGCTGTAATCACACTTTAATAAAGATAGAGGATGTGGAGGCAAACAGCACAGAAAGTACAGATGCAGATGGCATGGGCACAGGCGAAAGGGTGGTGAAGGAAGAAGGCAGGCAGCCTGAGGAAAAGGATGGGGAGGAAGAGAGGCAAAGAGAATCACTCATCTAAGGATGCATTAGATTTGGCAGGACTTGGCAGCATGAACCTGATAGAGGTGGAAGAGTACTCGGGGAGCAGGAATTTGAGCTCTCGTTTCTATAAGGTTTTGGGCAGGGTACAGACTGTTATCTGTGCCACCTTAGGATTAGTTCAAAGTTGTCAGTAAAACTTTAAAGTTAACATGTCCATCTCATCTCAGCATTCTCAACAACATTTGGTGATCTACTGGTCTTTCCTGCGGAAGTCTGAAATTTGTCAGGGATTTATATATTGTAGGGACCAAAAGGCCGTGACAAAAGAAAGCACCTAGGTGGCTTCCACCGATTCAGCACATATTACCAGGATGCTATTTTTGGTTAATGTATGATAAAATTTGTGAATTGTGCTCCTTTGATCTTTGAGACAGTTTATATGTCTAGGTTCCCCTTTGCAATCTGATTTCCTCCTGTTGCCACTTTATACTGGCTACTTATAAACTTACTATACTGACTAGGAGGTGGGAGTAGGGGACCAAAACAAGATAAAATTTGGAGAGCATACTGGAATTGTGCCCAAAGAGTCATTAAACTGCTTATACCCTTCAACCCAGCAATACCACTACTAGGTCTGTTTCCCAAGATGATTAGGGGAAAAGGAAAAGCACACACACACACACACACACACACACACACACACACACACATAGATATTTGTGTCTAATGGTAGCCATCCCTAGGGTGGGGAAAGAAAGAAAAAAAGAAAGTTACATGATAACTATTATATATTTAAAAGGAATATAAATTGTACATAATAGATTTGCAGTTTCATGTGTAATCATCATTTTTCTATTCTGTTGTGTTATGGAAATGCTTGTTTTGTTTCTTAAGTTCAGAATAAAATAAATATTTTTTTTAAAAAGATACAATTTTAACACAGTTGGGATGGCTAGTGAAGATTCAAAACCTTTATTCTCTTCCCAACAGATTTGTTAATCAGGTTTTTTTTGTTTAACTTTTTGGTCTCTACAGTTATGACAAATTTAGTAGGGTTTAAGTTTATTTGTATTTTTCTTAAAGTGCAGTTTGCCATTTTGATCTCTTTAGTTAAAAATTGTACAATCTGATGTAAATATGCACTGTACGATCTCTTTCTGAATCCATTGTAAAGGATTTGTATGTTTCTTAATTAAGCCACTGACATTTTATTGGCCAGTAGGATATAAAGGTATAGCTGTGCATTTTTCTTTGGTGTTTTGTCCATAAGAAATATAGCTCATTTCTTTTGTGACTTAGCATGCTACAAATTTATTTTCAGTGGTACTGCACCTGCTGTCCATTTTTCTTTGGTGTTTTGTCCATAAGAAATATAGCTCATTTCTTTTGTGACTTAGCATGCTACAAATTTATTTTCAGTGGTACTGCACCTACTGTATTTTAATCTGTAGCCTCCATCACAGAGGCTGAATCAGTGGCTCCCAGTGGGAGGTCATGACCCATTATCTGTCATTTATGGGGAACTGAATGGTCTAAAATGAAAGGCAGTTTGTTATTTTAAAAAACATGTATTACATTCTTGAAACTCTGTTATGACATTGAGAATAGTATTAATGCTCCTGTAGTGCTTAATAGGAGCAAAGAAATCGTACATCTTTGAATCTTGCATAGAATCTAGAAGAGTTCCTTTTATAGAATGAATGAATATTTATTGAACAAGTGTTATATACGTGAAATCACAATCATAATACATTTGTAATGGAATTAGATTGTTAGCCAGTGTTGCAAAGGCATGTAAAAAAAATAGCAACAATAAAAAACCCAAGCTGCATGTGAAGTTCAAATGCAGTCCCCATTTTTCTGTTCTCCTTTTGTATAGGGTAGGGTACCCTTTCTTGCATCATGGACTCTTTTGACAGTCTGGTGAAACCTATTGAGCCCATCTTAGAATAATGTTTTTAAATGCATAAAATAAACTATTTATGATTAGTAAGAAAATATATTATATTTAAATAAAGTTAACAGAACTTTATCTTATCTCCTACCATGTTCCAGGCACTGTGCTAAGCTTGGGCAAAACCAAATTCGTGGACCTCAGGTCGCAAATATAAAGAAATGGTCTTGTTTATTGGTGTTTGTAAGTTTCATAATAAAAAAAAGATAAGAAAAATTTCAGAAATTTCACTCAAGACAAATTATATGAGTTAAATTATTTATAACAGAATAGCTTATCAACATGTATTATTAGTTAAGCATAATAATTTTCAGTAAAGTATTTCTGGGCTCTTTAGATATTTCCTTTCCTAAGGCCATAACTTGATTAATAGGAGGCTGTATAAACATAGCACAAAATTGAAATGGAGAATTGGCCAAATAATTACTTCATATGAGCAACAAAAGTCATCAAAGTGAATAATTCTCCCATTAAAATAATCGATGCTTTCATTGCCTGAGTCCTGTGATTTCCATGCTACTAAGTTGTTTATTTCCTTTATTCTAGAACGAGACCTTTTTGGAGCAGAACCTTTTGACCCTTTTAACTGTGGAGCAGGTGACTTCCCTCCAGACATTCAATCAAAACTAGATGAAATGCAGGTGACTACTGATTTATTACTAAAATAAATTTTATTGGTCTGTAAATACTTATTAATCCATAGCCCTGGCCTGTTACTTTTCAAGGTGAATGACACTCCTGGTTTGTTTGTTTTTGTCACCATTAGCTAGTTTTATGTTAGCATAATATTTAGGTTAAAAATCGGGACATAAATAAATTCTGTACATATGTATACATTCTGTATATATAAATGGTGTATTTCTCTAGTCCTTAAAATAGCACAGCAAAAACTTTAGATGTGGCTGTTCTATCTTTTAATGTATTTTACAACTGGGACAAGTATGCCCCTTTCTCTGTCTCTGATTATCTCTTCCTCCCTTTCTCTCTTTCTCTGTGTCTGTCTTCATGTATGTATGTACATACACACACACACATACACACACACACACACACACACACACACACACGTATTTTTTTAAACTGAAGTTTGGAAACTGATGTAGAGAACTCCTTAAAATGAAAACTATCAGTGGGGATAGGCACTTACCCTGCAACTTACAGTCTTAAAGAGCTGCCTGAAGTATTGAATGGTTAATTGATTTCCCTAGAGGAGGGTCCAGTCTCTTTCTGCTCTGCCACTCTGCCTCCAGTTTGGGGGGGTTTTAAAGAATATTTTGTATTTTTAGACAACCTCTACTAAAATAATAGTCTAATGCTCTGCCAACAGAGCACAACATTTCCAATTTGGAATTCCTTGGAATATGGTCTTGGTAACAAATTATTTCTAACACCCAAAGATCAGACTAGCTTTCTTTTTTGTTTGTTTTGCCGTTAAAAGAATGTGTATGTTTATATATACCTAACTGTATATATTTACTAGACCAATATGTATGAGTATGTATACATCTCTCTTTCCCTCTCTCATACATTTACAACATGCATATTCTTTTAATAGAAAAAATATCTAGTTTGATCTTTGGATGGCATAAATAATTTGTGTGTAAGATATATACACATACACATATGTGTGAGAGGCATGTATGTATATACACACATATGAGACAGAGGTGTATATGTATGCATGTGTGTGTGCACACAGAGCAAAATCCCATGAATTTCAATAAGGATTCATGTTTTTTTTTAAATGGTAATAGAGATTGATCTTACTTATTGATCTTTTTCAAAATTGCTAATAGCAAACCATTGTGGCAAGATCTTAAGTGCTGGCCCTGGAGTCAGGGGAGACCTGGATTGAAATCCTATCTCTGGCCTTTACTAGATGAATGACCATGGGCGAGTCTCCTCACCTTTCTGAGATTCAGACAAATCTCTAAGACTTCACATATTGACATTATTTAGAAGATTGAGCTTTTATATATGCAGGAAAAAAATCTATAAAACATCTAATCGATCCATAGAGGAGAAAAAAAGTATTTTGTTAATAGTTTTAATAACTCTTGAAATTTTTATAGGAATAGTAATAATCCACAGAGAAGCTTGATAAGGGGCATCTTTTCTTGTATGCCCCTCATTTTTTTTCATAATTCTGATTTATATTATGTACTGAAGTAAGTTAAATCTCAAAATCTATATTTAAAGAAATAGTTGACAAGCCTAGAAACAGCAGTTAATTATCCATTAATTCTTCAGCTCATCCCTTTATGTTGATGTTTCTAAGCTCATTTAATACAAAGATGACATCAGTCCACTGAGATGAATTCGAACATTCCTTCAAAATATTTTATTTCAAAAACTTGACCCAAAATATTACTATTGCCATGACTTAAAATATACAGAGAGATTAGTGAGGGTATGTAGTAAGTAAAAATAGCCATCAAAAGTAAATAATATTTACCAGAAAATGAAAATTCATCTTGCTTATATGAATGGAATATTGGCAGATACAGAAAAGACATTAACTCGGGATACATTTTTGGTGTGTGTGTGTGAGGTAGGGTCATTGTGTCTGTATATCTAACCTAAAGGATTCCCTATACAACACTTGCTGCCTGAGCAAAATGAAAATGCTAATGGACGCATGTTTTAGCCACAAAATGGTGGATGCAGTGCATTTATGAGTAGGAATAGAAGATCTTATCCTTAGTCTAGACTTATTCTTTAGATTTATTTTCTAGGTTTCTTTTGAGTTGTCTTTGTTTTATGTTTCTGAAAGCTATAGTATGACTACTATTTAATATTAATTTTTCAACTTGAGTATTTAAAATATTTGATAACTATTAGAATGATTTGCTATGCAAATACTAAGCCGCATTACTCTATTTTGATTGCTTCTAATACTTTCTTAATGTCTTTTTATCTCTTTGTGCTTTCATGGGGGGTAGCGCCAGAGATGGTTAGTATATAATTTCCATAATCATTTCACAACAGCTTTTTGCAACCTAAATTTTAACATTTGCATGCTTTAACTGACTTTGAAATGTTTCAACTGCTGTTTCACTGATGTGTTTCTGGATTTTATGGCCTATTTCTATGTGCTTGTGTTTACTTTAAATGCCTTTTTCATTCAGCCGTTATTGTATTGCCTAACTTCTTCTCCTGTATTAGTTGAACCTATTATCATAGGTTTCTGTTCAGTAAAGTATAGTAACCTTTTGGCTAATATAAAGTTTATGTCAATTTTATTGCTAGTTTTAATGGCCTTATTTAACCAGTGTACACTTTTTAATTATTCTTTTTTCTTGCCTTACAAATACATTTTGTTTGTTTGTTGTGAGCACCAGCATGCTTATAAGCATAAGGAGATATCTGGCTTTTTCATTTGTATTTAGAAGAATAGGAACAAAGTTTGTCTAGAAAATAAGCTTATTCATTTGAATTTGGAGTCAGCATGAAACTCATGTCAAATAATGAGAATGGTATATTATAAATTGTCAAAATAGGTTACTTATGTCTTTGAAGTCAGGCGTAATGATTTTGATTTTAAATTTGACTAAAAACTAGGAAACTCTAAAAACAAAGAATAGTTACTTAGGTGACATAGATCTGGCCTAGGTTAACTGTAAGTCATTTGGAATTATAAAAATGTTTTATTCTCAAGGAAATAAATAACACATTATGGCTATAATCAGAAATATAATAATAGAATATCTAATAATAGTAAGCAATTGTCAGAAATAATAATAAAATAAATAATAGAATTGAGGAAACACATTCACCTGCCTTGTATCAGTTGTGCAAAGGTAAGTTTCTATCTGTACTTCATAAATTCATGGTTTTTAGTAAATGCTTTAGTACAACATTCCAAAAGAATGTAGAGATGAACCTTGCCAGCTTTCAGGAAGTTGCACAGTTTGGTAAGGCAACAACTGGGCATCTTAAGGTTCTCCCAAGCCCTCCATTCAAAGTCAAGCACTTTAGTAAATCAAAATTGAGCCTCTTTGTCCTTGAACCAATTTATCCTTTGGATGTTAAAACTTTCAAAGAGCAAATAACATGATTTTATTCTCAAAAGTTACAAGTATAATGGTGAATATCTTAGTTCCCTCCATCAGATGAGCAATATACAGGTATTTCTGCCTCAGAGATACCTAGGCATTCTTGTAACTCCATCAGAAAACTTTGGCAGGCTTTTAATATGACTTCTTGTCTTTAATTTTGATGACTTCATTCCTGAGGCCATTTATTTGAAGGATTTTCCACAACAAAATAACAACAACAAACAATATGAGAGAGGCTTTTTTCAGACTCTTTGCTGAAAGTTAGGTAAGTTAGTTTAGTAACTATGTCGAAAAAAGAAGGCTTATAGCCTAGGCTATAAGGCTAGTCTCACATGACTTGTTTTTGATGAAGCTACACTAGGCTCTTTGTGATCACAGTTTCCTTTTCTAGATGTCCAGCAATCATCTCTCTAATAATATGTTCTAGAATTTTGCCAGGAATTGATATTATTGCCCTGTTGTTCTAGGATATCCTTCTCTTCCCTTTTTTGAGAAATGGGACAGTATTTATCCTTAACAGGCTTATGGTTCTCCACCTATTCTTGATGGTCTTTCATATCACCTAAGCAATGACATCTTCCAGTTCTTTAGCCTTCTGAGGATGTAGTTCATTCAGTCTAGTTCAATTGCTCTAGGGCCCATAAGCATCCTTGTAGATATACCCTTCCTCATCTTACTGTTAACTACTTTTATTCTATCTTTTCCTACCCCAAAGTCCTAAAACTTGTTAGAGAAAACAGATTTAAAACAATAACAATAATTGAACAGTCTCTGCATTCTCTACCCTCAGAACCATCATTCTACTTTTGATTCCTTTTCCTTTTTTTTTAAATTGTTGTCTTTGGTGTTCATTCCCATTCTCAGCTCATTCTGAACTGTAATACTCCAGACATAATTCTTACAATATCCATCTTCTAGTTCTTGACCTTATTTCTGTCTCCTGGACAATTCTTGAAATCCAACTTGGTCATTAAGTTTCTTGTGCTTCCACATTGACCTTTTAAGACAATTTCCTTATTTCTCTTTACTGGAATAATTTACTTTTGTGTTTTCATAATACACATTTTTTTTGCTTTTTGGTGAGGCAGTCAGGTTTAAGTGACTTGCCCAGGGTCACAAAGCCAGTAAGTGTCAAGTGTCTGAGGTTGGATTTGAACTCAGGCTCTCCTGACTCCAAGGCCGGAGCTCTATCCACTGTGTCACGTAGTGGCCCCATCATAGTACAATTCTTGAGAATTCCCCATTCTTTCTCAGCTGACTTTCCGTATAAAATCCTAGCCATCTTTCCTATATCAGATTTTCTTAACTTGAGGTCCACAGATCCCCAAGAGGTCATGGATAGATTTCAGGGGGTCAATGAGATTGGATGGAGAAAAATACATCTTTATTTTCACTAAGCTGTAACTAAAATATGGCATTTCCTTACTCGTGGGCAAGTCATTTAAGCGGTGTTTGCCTCAGTTTCCTCAGTTGTAAGATGGTGATAATAATAGCATCTTTCTCACAGGATCGTTGAAAGGATCAAATGAGACAATATTTGTACAGCATTTAGCACAACACTAAAGCACCTAGTAGGTGCTTAGTAAATACATTCCTTTCCTCTTCCTTCGCCTGCAAATATAGGCATCAGACATTCTGAGAAGGGGTTCATAGGCTCTACTGGGTTGCCATAACGCAAAAAAGGTCCAAAAAACTGCTGTAAAACCTTTGAAATTTACTTTCCCCAAATCTAGGGTATATTTCTGACTATTTTCAGCTTCCTTCTCTTTTGTTATAAACCCTATGAGGTAGTGGCCACTTCCTTCCAAGATTCTCAGCATTTCACTCTAGCAACAACTTCTTCCTCCTTGGTGAGATTTAGATTCTGGGCAGAGTTTTCCCTTGCTGGTTACCCTAGTAACTTTTGAAAGGTGAACTTATCAATGCCACATCAATAAATGGTTAATTCTTCTTTTGAAAGAGACAAAGTTCCCATAAATGTCTAGATAATTGAATTCTTCTAGCATCTCTGTACATGGCTAGGCCTGTGATCTTTTTTTATGAATTTCACATCTTTTTCTTCATTCTGTTCTGATAGTCTATAGATGAACTAGATCTGATGGGAAAAATCACTTATATTTCTTCCTCCACTGATCTTTACCTAGTTGCTCTTTCTACTGTGCTTCCTTCCTTGGGGTTCTGGCCACAAGAGTATTAATATACAATACAACCCCACAACTTTTTACCTACCTTGTTTTGAATAAAGTGTTGTCATTCAGAAACATATTCCAGTCATGGGTATCATCCCACCAAGTTTCAGTTAGATGCATAAGGCCAAATTTGCCTCTACCGCAAGCACTGTATTTGCATACAATTTTTTTCATTTCTTTTTTTATTATTCTTTAAAATTAGTTTATTTTGATTTATCAACAATCACTTCCATATGTTTTTGAGTTTATTTTTTTCCATTTCTGAATGAAGCCTTGAGACCTTGAGTTTTATTAATGACTTTTTCATTGCATTTTCTTCTGTGAACTGAAGATCTCAGTGGCTATTCATCTTGATATTTCATACCTACTCTCTATGGCATCTTGTGAGGTGAGTACACAGAGCCAACTTTCTCTTTCCCTCTCTTTCAGTTTAAAGAATTACTTATTGCATTTGTAAGACTTTTGGCAAATGCAGTCTTATCAGATTATTGAGATGTACTCTATTCCTGGCTGAGAGCCTTTTAGATTTATATTTTAAGCTGTGATCCAAAAATTGAAGTCAGATAATATAGTTTAAAGAAACTGTTTACCCAAATCTGTCTTCTTTGCTTCAGCTTTTGCCTTTGATGGGCAATAAAGATGAAAATACCACCTGTGCCCCCTTGTTCTTCAGTTCCTTTCTCAAGATAATGTTGACAGTGTTGCCTAGGTTCCTTCTCGCAGTATCAGTATACCCATATAAATCACAAGATATGGGTTTCAGTCACCTATTTTTCAAGGGAAGCTCTTTTTTATGTATGGTCCAGGAAGAAAACTCTGATGTTATTAGGTCAAAAATAATTGCATCCTTATTCCTCAGTAGGGAGTGACCAATAACCATTACTTTTATCTTCTTCCTATTACAATGACTTCTTACCTAACAATACCTATGGATCTACTTTATCATTCCTTGGAGGACAAGGAGCTTCTTCTCTGGAGCATCCAACTCCCTCCTTCTTCTAAAAGAGCCTCAAATTTATTTGTTGCTTTAGCTCTAATGGTAGATGAAGGTCCTTCTTCCTTTCTTCCTCTCCAGCTGCCCCATAACTCTCCAACCTCTTAAAACAAGTCAGTACTCCTTTCTCCCTCTTTAAATCCTATTACTTTTCCATTTCACATTGGAGCCCCACTTTGTGATTTTTAAAGAACTTTTCAGTGTCCAGAATATCTTGGAGTATAGAAAGGTGTTGCCTCGAGTCTGTTGCCCTTCTCTTCTTGGAAGGGAGACCAAGTTGCACTGTAAGCATAGACCAAAGTCACTTGGCCAGCAGCATAGGTCACAATAAATTTCTCCTGCTCTCTCTAACTACTGGAAGTGAGATCCTAAGTTCTTGATTTTGAAACTGCTTGTTGGTGGATTATGCCTTACCCTTAATTACTTCTTCATAAATGATTAACAATTTGATGACCATTCCTGGTTTCCTTTTTCTTCCCTTTCTAACCTTTTTTACTTATATTTGCTTAACTTTTTGTTACCTTCCTAGCCTTACTACTCTCAAGTTCACTTATTTCTTTCTTGAGGTTTTATCCTCAATCTTTTTCCTTGTAACTTAAACCGCCTTTAGATTGTCTTTTTCCTTCATCTCCTTCAAGAAGTTTTTAGTTCTCAACTTTTGCTTCAAATCTCCTTAAATTTATCCTCATCAAGTTCACTCTGGCCTTCATAA